ATCACAGCATGGAAATCAGGCTTTCTGTTTCAAATTGTGATTGTTATTGTTGTTTTTTGCTTTGGACAGCAGCCAGGTTGTTCACAGTCACAAGTGGTGTTGATTGTTTGATGTCCTGTGTCATGGGGAGTTGAGAAGCTCTGCGCAAAATAGAAAGAGATTCCAACAGCTGCACCGACAGTAAAACTTGGAAATGCAAGAGGTAAAAGTTAAAAGTTTTCTGTCACTTTAAGACACATTCATACATTTTAAGTTTTCGTGTGGAGAAAAAATACCTGCTCAAGACAGCAGGTGGGAAAAAAAAGGCTAATTAACTTGTGACTTGATCTCTTATTTCAGTGCACTTGATTAATTGCACACTTGTTGCCACTATATCCTGAAAAGTGTCTCCTGTCTTCTTCCACAGACTGAGACACACAAATCTTTGGAGTAAGAAATAAAGTTGTCAGTTCAACCTGACCCAAAGCTGCCTCTGCAGCTGAAAAAGCTGAACTAAATGGGAAGCAGGAGCTTGTGCAAAACACTGTGTGTACAAGTTACCGCCTGCAGTGTTCTCAGATATGACAGTCGCAGGAACATTTGCTCTGACAGTAATCAGGTAAGATCTCATTAAAAAGCAATTATCCAGAATTAATTTCTAAGCTCAAAATAAGATGTAGATAAAATAATACAAATTAGAAGTATTTGGAAGCTTTAATAAATGCCATGCAAATGTGAAAACTGCAGCAACACGTTTAGTATTAAGAGCAAATTAATTGTAGAATAATGCAAATCAGCTGAGATGGTTTTTTTAAAAAAATTTTTTCAATAAAAAAAATGGGGCGATAAGAAATGTGGCTTTATAACCTTTAAAATTTATTTCCAGTAGACGTAGATGAGGACTACCAAATTAATTGGCTTCAGTTGTGTTTTAAAGGGTAATTTATGTGGTGCAATTAAAAAGTTATGTGACTGTCCGTGGTGCCGGCACACAGAGCGAATCTTGATGTTGAATATGATGAATATCAACAGCAGGACCTGTATTAGATGTGTGTTTGTGACCAGTGACAGGTGTACATTTGTGATTTCTCCAAACTGGAGCAGAGAGGAAAACATTCTGGGTCAGTCAAAAAGTTAGTTACCAAACTTCATGTGGAGGATCATCACTGGTGATGAGAGGGGGGTCTGCAGCTACCATCAACAGAAGAAACGAGAGTTTTCACAGCGGAAGAACTGCAGATTCCAAGACTTGTGTAGCGCTTTTCTACCTTAGTATTACTTAAAGCCCTTAAAATGTTCTTATTTGCACGCTTATTCAAACACCAGTGGTAACAGAGCAACAATGCCAAGCATTTGCCTGCTCTCAGGAGCAACTTCAGATTCAGTGTCACGGAGGGTTGAACTATTAGTGGACTAGCTGAAGCACAGCCGCCTGCTTAGTTGTTGTTTCTTAAACATTCAAGTAGTTGTACACCTCGGATTTATCCTCCAGCATTGGACTGTCAATCTAGAGTTCTACAGTGTTGCTCTGACATGTGTGTAGGGTAATAATTGGTGCAACCAACCTGATCTATAGTGCAATAGCATCAGGGTGCTCCAATACACTGTGCATCCGATCACAGTCCAGGATGCAGGTTTTTAGGCAATAAACACCAAAATCACTGGTTTCCAATTGCCCTACTCATGAGATACGTCTCCCTGCGACTTCATCTTCTTCCCCAAAATTAACTTCAAGTTGAAGAAGTGCCGATTTGAAGCAGTGGAGGAGATTCAACACAAATGATGCTTAAATCTCCTCCATAACGGAGCATTACAAATGTTGCAGGAGCACTAGGAGCTGTGCATTGCTGCACAAGGTGACTACTCCAAACGGGTCGGTGGTCAAATTTAAATCAGGTTTTTGATTTTTATAGGCACAGTCTCAGAATTTTCTGATTCCTTTGTAATATTATTACCTTTTCTCCTCTGCGACTCGGCTAATAGTTTTCTGAGCGTGCAACACTTGAGCGTCACATTTTGGGACACACCCTCCACTGCGCTTGTTAGGTTACCTATGACGCACTTCGGTTGTTAACAAACTAAAACCATCATTAGACGCAGAACCTCCCTCTTCACTACTTCAGGTCATTCAGTTTAGGTACATTTTTTTGTGAAATAACACCTCACCACATAAATACACGTGTCTGAACTATTGTCACACTTTGACACCACGCTTGGATGGGTGTTGTTTGTGTTTCATGGTGTTAAAATGCTGTATAATGACCCTGATGAAGGCCACGACCTGAACAGCATCGGCCATGCCATGAAGTTGTCATTTACAAACGTGACTGAAGTTTTGACTCTCTAAAGTCTGCTCTTTTTTGTGCACTTTGCAGTTAAGTGTCAGAAACTCCTTTGTTTCCTGTGTGTAAATTGGCTGTAACACATAGTCAGCAGTCGAGATGCAGCCACTGGAGGCTCCTGCAGCCTCGACAATATGTGTGAGCGACTTCTCACTCAGCATGGAGTATGTCCTGATTTCTGTGCCTTCCTTTTGAATCCAGAAAAATTCAGGTCAAGCTTTAAACAGAAAATAAAAGGAAGAGAGAACGGATCAAAGTGTTGTTTATTTAGGCTGGCTGGAACGGCGTCCCGAGCGAGGACGCCAAGTGTGACATGAGGAAAGCTGCATCCTGTGAAAGCAGCAATTTCACTCCACTGCTCCTGGTTTGTTTTGGAACCTCGATTTGATAAGACGCACGGAGGCGTAGAAAACATCTGAATTTCTTCAACCAGCCAGACTCTCTGCATTTCAGTTTTTTCCAGTGGAGACGCGCCTCCGCGGCCGTCTCGCCCTTATCATCAAAGGTTGAATCTGCTGTTATAATCAGGCTGCTAGTTGGGTTTGATGCGGCCGCTGCTCTCCGCTCCGATAAGCCCGTCGAAGGCTCCTGCCTGGGTTGCATTCGTCACAGTTTTCCCGCGTCACACTGGGCCCACGCGTCCACTAATGGAGTCAGAAAGATCGAGATGCATCTAACTGTCTGCGTCAGAGAAAAAGCAGCGTTCGAAACTGTCAGCTCAGCAGTGATCAGGCTGAATTTTAAACTCAGCAATGAGTCAGTTGCACCCGTCACTTGGAATCGTAGTTGTCGTTCATTCATAGGAATCTGTGTTAAATAACTTGATATAAGATGACGTAACTTTTTGTTGTTACTTCAAATTCACCAAGTTGGTTGTCTCATGTCCACTGTTGTTTAATCAGCCTCATTGAAACCATTCATTAGGTTTCTGTTTGCCAAGTCTGCATTAATCATTTGATAAAGGTGATTTTGTGGATCTGCCATTTACCCAAAAATGTCCCAGTGTCTATTGTAGAGATTTAGAGAAATGAGGAGTCGCATAACACAGGGCAACAAAACAGCATATATCTGTGGCAAAAAGCATGAGCTCCCTGCAGCATCCCCCTCAAAAAACAGTGTTTTATCATGAAGCATTTTAAATTGTTTCGCTGCCTGGAACAACTGTTTTAATAACTGCATTAGGGATCTCAAACTGGAAAATAATCCGGATTAAATCAACCAGAATAGACATTAAGTTCAAGAATGTTTCATTTGAAAGTAAAAAAAATTATTTTATAATTGTAATCTTTTATTCTCTGTAAGCATTATAGGGCTGGTCCGAACAGCATTTTCTGTTCTCCAGATATTCAGCCCAATTAATGACGAATATCCCACATAGCTGGGAGGGGGTGGCGGGTGAATATTCGTTCCGATGGCGGCAGTGGGGGCGAATATTCGGAGATCAAAAGTGATTCCAGCACAGCGAATGAATAGTTGGTTATTCGGCTATTCAGGTCCAGCCCTAAAGAATTATGTAGAATTTTCCCCACATTTTTAGATGAACTTGTGTCATTACATGGTTAGTTGTGCATATTGTTGCCTGGAGGCTGAGCCTGACACATCTCCAGGCTAAAGGCCCAACTCACACATTTCTGCGTCCTGATTCCACTGATTTTCATCCTAGATTTCTGACCAATTGTTGTGCTGCGTATCTCCACTGCTTTGATGTTTCTCTCTGAACGTTCATTTACTTGCTGCTATTCTTCATCCACGGTATCTTTTTTGTAAAATAACTTTTACCTCCAAAATGCGTTTTGCATTCAGTGAGCATCGGCCCAGTTGTGTAACAACCGATCGACGTCTGACCAACACGATTATTAGTTTACTCAAAGGTGCGATATGTATTTTGACATTTCAGTCACTACTCACCAGCTAGCTCCAGCCTGTTGCATGTTTTCCTACCTGCAGGCTGACCAGGTCACTGCTGTGGTGGTCCTCCATGACATTCAGCTGCCTACTCAGTGAATCTGGCCCCACAGATGGACTCCAACATCTTGGACAGCAGCTGGCATTGCTGTACTCTCCAGCAGGTCAGCTGCAAGCGGGAACTTTGAACTTTCAACATACAATCCTCACATACAGCACTTTTAAGACATGATCTGTATGATTCCACTAAAAAGCAGATCACCTGTCATGTTGTCCACAACAGAAGGTAGCCCTCTTCTATATGCATGTTTTCATGTAAACAAGCTGGTCATTAAGTAACACACTTTCTATAATTTCAAGAACAATATGTGAGACAGTAGCTGATTTAATTGTCAAGTAACTTTTGAAATGAGTCTCTTTTCCATTAACTGCTTTAGAGAAAATAAACTCGGCTGCAGAGTGTCTTTAGAAGGAGGCCGTGTCGGCTACATCATTCATGATGCATTAAACAGTAGAAAAAGCCAGAAGCAAAGCCAGCTGTTGACCAACAGATAACTAAATGTTAGAGAAGAAACAAACCAAACTTTGTCCATCTATGAGATAAAAATGGGTAGAAGTCTTCAGGAATTTTTGCAATCGGGAAAATCGTAAGTATCCGTTGACGTCAGCGTGTGTTGGTGATGTTTCATGCAGTCAAATAAATAGTAAAATAAATGATTAATAAATAGTTCAGTCCCAGCAGAGGTGAGTTATAATTAACAATACGCTCAAATCTCAACATGTACACCAAATCTTTTTTAATAAAGATTTCATGACAGGAGCAATAAATACATTTCCGTATAAGCACCTGTTATTCTGACAGAGAAGTTTACAAACACATCATTTTAATACTTTCTAAACTGAAACACAATAAGACCTAACAAACGTTACAATACTTCAAAAGAGCAGCAACAGTCTGAACAAAACATAGAAGATTAAAATAAAATCATCCACTGACCACCATCCAGCCTCCTCTGTGGTCAAATCAAAGGCTCCTAGGCCTTAGTGATGTAACCCTCTTTGATTAGGAAGTCGTAGATCTTTCTTGTCTTGTTGACGTCAATCTTGATGAGCGCTCGGGCCTGAGCCAGCCGCAGCCCGCCCTGCCGCCTGCACTCGTTGAGCAAGGCCTGCTTGTACTCCAGGTAGGCCCCCGGCACCAGACGCACCACCTGACACAACTACGAGCACAAAACAAACACAAGGCAAAGATGTAGACTCGTTTAGAAACACGTATAAATATTTAACGCCTCAGTTTGCTTCAGATAGTGTTCGTCAGATCGTCTGTGATGCTCAACACCCACTTCATGCTACAGTCTGCCGCGTGTGAAGGTTTCCCAAACTCCCAAAACTGAGTGAAAGATCAGAAATGCCTTCAAGGACACGCTGTGTTTATTTGTAGTATTTGTATGAGTCATTGAATCAACACCACAAAGACATGTGAAAGACACGGGGGGACAGATTTATGAGGAAAACTGGCAAACAGCCACGCTAGCGGTGCGGCTCTGAATGTAAATGCTGGTCTGTTGGTTTGTTCACCACTTTGGTCGAGACTGGAATTATCTCACAACTAAAATCTGTATTTATATTCATGCTCCCCAGAACATGGATCCGACTGGATTTTCCTTTTGTTCATGACCCAATACCTGTAAGCCTCAGCTGTACTAAATGCATATTAAAGTAAAATGGTGAACAAAACCTGCTAAACACCAGCATGTTTCATTTACCTGAAAGCACCAGTGTGCCACAGTAAACTAGAGCTGGCTCATGTCTCCTGGAATCAATATCACAATTAATTACCACATTTACCTCACAAATGATTAATTTAACAATTACTTTGTATCTCAAGTTGACCTTTTTAATTATCTGCAATAAACAGAACATATATGCACATTTTTAGTTCAGAACACTTTGCTTTTAGCAAAACTTCTTAATTCCAGTCCTCTACTATCACAAATGTTTCAAACTGTGTAGCTATGAGAGGAAATGTGCTTATAACATGTTCACTGGTTCAGAACCTTAAAAAACTAAAGATGACCAAATATGTGACCAAATATTTCATATTAAAAAGCAACCTACATATGTATTTTTAAAGTATTGTATAGGTTTTGTTTAGTGTTAGTGTGACGTGTAACTACAGATGGTTCAGAAAGTATCACTCATTGACTTCTGCATTATGAATTATGATGATATTGGTACTTAAAAATTGGACTTTTTATGACAGCATGACTTTATTTCTTTCTCAACTTTAATTTATGTCCACTATTGTAGATTCTGAAAGTCATGTTGAGAAATAACTGAGAAAATTCCAGGTTTTTATCGTTAATAGTTCCTGAGATATTACTATTTAATCATAGGATTAAAAATCTCAAAGTACTTGACAGACCTAGCTAAAACTGAATAAGACTTAAATCTATCAGTTCTGATTATACAAGAAAAAAAGGTAAATCAGAGATGGTCAAGCTGGTGATTTGAGTTGTAAAACCCAATAGCCTGTTGTGGCAAATTTTTCCTCCATCAAAAAAAAAAAATCAGTTTGGATACTCGTCCACATTGTGATTTCCATAATATTTTGATTAATTATTTCAGCCCTGGTGTCTAATGAATCTGAAGTGTCCACATTACTGACACCACTTCTTTTTTGTGCCAGCTCTTCCTTGAGAACAAAGACAGCGAACGCAGGCTGATAGTGACTGACAGTTTGTTGTTTGTTGGTACAATGCGCTTTGTTTCGTTGTTGAAGTTATCGTTACATTAACACATAAAGGGGAAGGACGACTGCTTGCGTTAGAGAATTAATTTATCAAACAACAAACACACAAACAATGTGAGTCAAATTAGGTCAGCGAGAAAGCCATGATGTGGAGTAAACTGCGCAGCTCTGCAATAAACTCTAAGTGTTGTTAGATAACTGATAGAGTGCAGCTCTTGATGGTTTTTTGCGGTGCACTCACTGTGAAGCCACACTTCATTACAACCTGTGGCAACTATTTTTACACCAGCGTTACAGAGATGGGAAGTTTCCACGAAAAAACACTGACTGGCAAAATATTATGAAAACATAAATAACAGCCGTAATAAATGTCTCCACTTATTATTTGCACAATCCTTCTTTACACTGGATAAGGAGAGAGCTGCACTTTGGAAACTTTCATTAAAATGGCACATAAACTGTGGCTCCAGCCGGGTGCATCCGTCGGGTAAATGTGTCTGCAGCAGTAAATCTGGCCCACAGTTTGCAGATCAGACATCATCTGACGCACACCGAGTCTTGCCGTGTGAGGCTTCATAACTGTACCTCTTTCTCCCGCTCGTTGAGCTTCTCCGTTCCCGGCAGTCCCGTCAGGTTGAGAGGAGGAGCGCTCCGCCTACCTGTTGCTGTGGAGCAGAATTTCAATAACAGTCAAACAGACGTGCGGCACCGCGGCGTTGGTCTGCGCTTCAGATAACATAATAGCCGCCTGACAACATGCAGTTAATTCCTAAGCCTGGGAGAGACGAGGGACCAAATATTTACGGTGTGCAAATTGTGTAAATATAGCCATGTGGGAGTGTGCATCCCAATTGTGCTCTGGAGGTTAGAGAAAGGCAGCTAATTTGAAAACTGAAAAACAGCGAGCTAAATATATAGGCCTGCTTTTTCGAGTGAATTAATGGAGGAGTGTGTGCGTGAATGTGCCTGAGGGCAGAGAGGACGGACTGATAGGTGGAAAGAAGCTTCGTACCTGACACTGTGATTGTTGTGACAGCTGGAGTGATGCCAGCGTCTCTGTAATCAAAAAGAAAAAAAGTGTTATTATCTCTGCAGCCTTGTTTACACACACACACATGCGCGCACACACACACTCGCCCCACTTCCACACAGCATCTCTGGGCTTTGTTCACTGTTCTCACTCCAGGATCGTCATCCAAAAAAGATGAATCATTGCGTTCAAGACTTTTTTTTTTTTTAAGGTAGAATAATTAGAAGAGCTTGGATAACCCCCCTAAAAAAAAAGGCCACGGATGAAGAAGAAGAAGAAGAAAAAAAACAAGAGCAGCAGCAGCACATTAAAAAAAAAAAAAAGACTAAAAATACAGCAGAGACTGAGGTGGAAGGAGGGAGAGCGGTGATACAAGCGTCTCCTCGAATCATCTCAGCACGACTGGTGCCGGGTGCGGCGACGACGGAGGTCAGCGTCTTCACCTGCTCGTCTATTACGTTACATTACACGGTCAACAGGCGGGAGGTTTCGGAGGCTCACATTGCAGCCTGTTTGCTGAGCCACTGCTGACAGGCTCTGCCATCCTGGATGTACTGCAGCACGTCGCACAGCATGGTCCTCTTCCTCCGCTCGTCCTCGCGCATTCGCTTCACCCGCTCGTACACTTTGGCACCTGATGTAGGTCAACAAAGACACGATGAGAGAGGATTTCTGCAACGAGCAATTACTGTGGAGATAATTTTGTCAATCGTTTTGTCAATAAGATGTCAGAAAATGCCATTTATAATGTCGCACAGCTCAAGTTGACGTCTTCAGATGTGTGGTTTTTGTCAGACCAACGGTCCAAAAAATCTGGGATGTTCAGTTCACAATCATGTTTGCCAAAGAAAAGCATCGAGTCATCACATTTGAGAACCAGCACAGTTTTTGGGCATTTTTTCCCACCAGAAATAAAATATGCAGATGAGCTTTCCCTTTGTGTGCCACACATCAACAAGCTAGTCAACCATTAAAATTTTAAAAAATGATCCAAAGACTGCGATAAACTGTTCTGCTGCAGCAGCAAATAATAATTAAAACAATTTCAACTGAATGGAAAAATAAAGGGTCTGAATATAAATGCGTTTTCCTGCTTAGCCATGCAACTTTCAAAGGAAGTTTTGTGGAACAGAAAAAGGTCAAACTTGACTCACTGCAGAAAGACTTGATCCCTGCTTTCCTGTACTCCTGCAGCCTGCGGATCTCTCTCCTCAGCTCAAACTCCACTGCAAAGAAAGTGACGCGAAGGCAGTTAAATGCAAATCGGTTCATGCTGTTCCAGAGTTAGCTGAACTCTCCCCGACACAGCTGCAGCTCAACACTTCATCCAGCACAAAGCTTTTCATGCAAATTTAGATCAACATCTGGTCACACCTGCACAGTTTAGATGCTGTTGACAAAGTAGAGATAGATAGATGTGGAGGAATAGTCTGACATTTGCTTAGGTGAGAAGCCTGAAACCGTCCTCATGTGTGAGTGTTTGAGCTGGAAGACCGTTAGATGAGCTTAGCTTAGCATAAAGACTGGAGACAAGGGGAAACAGCTAGCCTGGCTCCGTCTGCACCTCTAAAGCTCTCTAATTAACACGTTGTATCTCAAGTGTAAAAATAACAATCCGTTGTTTTTACAAGGGGTTATGTGCTCAAGTATTTCTTAGACTTCCTGGAGTCTCCACTCGTTGCCGGGCAACTGCTCAGAGCCAGGAAATAGTTTGGAAGTGGTAAAAGTGGTGGTCAGATCTTCAGCAGAGTTTGAGTAAGTCCATGCCAAGAAGCATTACAAACTTAGAAAGACTTTTCATGTTCGTTCAGCCATTTGTGCACGCAGATATACTGGGAATCGACTTGAAAAAATAGAAAAAGGCGCAGTCTGACGTTACCTTCCAACAACGATTAAAAATAACATCCCTTGAGGGCGAAATCGTCTAGCGATGTCGAGGCAGTCTGGCAAGAACCGCTTAAATTAATTCAGCGCATGTTACCCTGCCATGTGTACTCAGCCAAATACTAACGTGCGTGACTTTCGATGAATTTGTCGTGTTCAATCGGTCCAACCACTCTGGCAAATCGTCGCATGACATCATACAACTCCTGCACCTCCTTCGGGTAGCATCGCTCCAGCACTAACGGAAAGAAAGAGAGAGGAGAGAGAAGTGAGTGGGCGACAGATACAAACAAATATAACACAGAAATATGAAAGAGAAATCCACCCCTGTAGATACTTTTAGACATGACAGCTTTTACTGCTTTCTAGGAGAAGTGATTTGGTTTGTTTTGTGTAGTTCACCACCAGGGAACATGCAGCTCTGCATCAACCCAGGGCTCACAGGCATGTAAATATTACAAGCATCTATTATCACAACCATTGTGTGGACGCACGGCTATGATGTGATCTCTCGAGGCTGCTGCCAGGGCAGAATTTGTTTCCTGTAGCTACAGAATGTATGGTTCTGTACTTTGGATTCAAACCACTGACTGCACTTAACTCACAGCACTCCTCCACTGTAGATGCAACAAATAAAGAACAACCAAATGCCCTCCGTGGACTCATCAGTAGGCGGAAATAATCAAGCTGCAAACTGCACTGAAATGTACATAAAGACGAACTTGCTACAGGCTGAATATTGAGTCTCTGAACGGCATTAAGGCAGACATTCTAATCTTTACAGAAATGTTAAATTTAGCCCAGTTTCAACAGATGAGTGGTGCTATTTTGAGCTATTTCAACAAGAAATTTAAACTACGGAGAAAAAAAAAACTGAAATCCACAACCGCCTTCTCCATGGAAATAGTTCCACTTTTATTCCCCTCAGATAAAGCCAACAAAAGAAGTCACCAGGGAGTCTTTCTCTATTTGTGTCACATTTTGATTAAATTTTGTATTTCTTCTGATTACAATTTGGTTTTTGACAGAATTGCCACTATCATTTTTTAAAGTCCAGCTTCCATCCAATATTCACTGTGCAACAGATTTCAAACGTGATTAGATTCCATCAAAGGCACACAAAGAGGACGCCATGAATTTGCAAAACCACTGACACGACAGTTTAAATCCTCGGTCAGACATATATCCTAAACTGCAGCCTCTGCGATTTGCTAATTGTACTGTTTCAAAATGTACTTTCCACTTGAGCCCTAATTACAATGCAAAAATCACGGTTTAAAAGTCTGACTATAAGGTAGCCAGTAATGTGACAAAGCACTTCAACATCCAGACTGAGACCAGACTTATTATTTTTGCCCACAGCCTCTGTCATTCTACAATAGTGTTTTGAGAGTGAGTAATTTCCACATTTTACACAGACAACCTTCATCTGTCGGAGGAGGCAAACGAACAATAATTGAATGCTGGTAGAGGATGTCAGCTTTAAATAAAAAAAAAAGAACCAACTGCTGACTTTGTGGAGCTTATGGCTGATATTTTAACACAACCTGTAAATCATTTGTGTTTTATAAGTTACCCAACAGCCAAAGCAGGCCCAAAGACTAAAGTTTCAATGCTAACTAGGTTTAGTTTTGTTGTAAGATTGTCTAATTCAGAGCCTGGTTGAAAAGCACAACAGCAATGAAAAAGGTATTAAACTCAATAAAATAAGATGCAGCAACCTTGCTGCATCAAGAAGCAACCCTGTCCCTGCGATTTGTCACAGCGACGCTCCACCGATGTGTATTCACCACACTTAACTCACTCCACAAGCGTACACACTCTGAAGAGCTTGTTGTGTTCGTCTGAAAGCATCGGCCGTGTTGCTGAGTAACAGACAAGTGTCAAAGCCAGAGAGGAAAGCTGCTGTGGGGGTGTGAGAGGAGTGGCTGGCTGTGTGTGTCGGTCAAGTTCCATCATCAGGCTCCAGCATGCGGCCGCTAATTAGCAGCTGCCATCTCAGGCGAAACACATGAAGTCACGCTCTTAACGAAAGCAGTGGACGCACAGACCCATGTTGCTCATATCTCCGAGGAGACGTCAACGCTGCACCTCTGTGTGGTTTCACATCAGTACACAAACTGGCTGCACAAAGCCACACAACAACGCAGGGCTGAATGATTCAAGGCTACGAGCTCTTACTGGACGCCAGACGGACTGCTGGCCTAAAAACAACAACGCTGGTCATTCTGCCTCCAGCAGTCACGGAGACCTGATACTGTGAGCCTCCCGGGCTCGGATACTGCTTCCATTATTGCGTGTGACACACACATGAACGCACACACACATGAACGCACACACACATACACATACACAGCGGAGACACACAATCTTTGACAGTCTCCATGACAACCGGTCTGCAGCTCTACAGCTACTCTGAGTTCCCTTTTGTCTTGAAAGACTAGAGAGATAAGGGAAAGGAGGGAAAAAGGGAGGAGGGCTAACCGGAGGCTGGAGGATACATAAATAAAACATGAGGGGACTCTTCAACTCCCAAACCACAGACAATTTCACAGAGCAACACGTGGAGATGTAACGGCGGGCTGGGTGGTCGCACGCACTTTAAACGAGATGCCTTAATTGGACAAATCCATTCATAGCAGCCCTCGCCGTCTAATGAAATAACCCACGAGATGCAAAGAATCACATTACTGAGCTCACTGAAATTCAACCTGTAACAGGTGGATCAATACATGGAGGACCCCCCCCCTCCCCACACCCAAAACATTTCAGCCATTATGGCAGCAGTGCTCATCGCATGGGGATCGCAATTATGCCACAGCACACTCTGGCACACAGCCCCCACAGACTATTCGCAGCCTCCATCGTAAATACGAGCTCCATCAGTTGCAACTCTTCGGCTACCCGAGAGGCCCCAGAGGGCGGTTATTACAGCGCGGTTGTTTGCATGCAGCCATAGAAACCTTCAGCAGCGATTTGGTTGCGAGATATCAGATGAGCTTGTAAGAGTTTAAGGAAAAGACTCACTCTGGAATTTCCGCAGGTTGATGAGTCCATGGTCTCGGATTATCCTGAAAGAAACGGACACGTAGATTTATGAATTGATATCACGATCGCTGTGGCTGCTGCAGACTGTGCAGTTCAATTAAAAATCCACTTTATACCAACTGTGTCATCATATTTGAGGATGTGCCGTTCAACCGTATCGTGTTACACCAGCAGGTGATTCTATTATTTTGTCCACATTTCAATAAAGGGAGGCAAAATTGACAGAAACTCTTCTCTGTGTAATACAATACACTTCAATACACTACATTCTGACATGATCCTGCAGCTGAATACACCCTAAGATGTTTTTAAAGAAACACAGACTGTTGTAATGCAGGAAGGTGTATCTAAATAACTGGCTAACAAGTGTACACACGTCCTAATGAGTTTTGTCAAAACTGCTCCATGTTTGACTTTGAGACTAAAGTCAAATTGCTTAAAATCAGGGTTTCAGCCATGTTCCCCAAATTACATTTTAATAGCGCATAAAATGCAATGTAACCCTCTGAACCCCAAGCAATTTCTGGATGTTTTTTTTTCCTGCTCCTGTCGCATTTGTACTCACTCTAGGCTCCTTTTTCACTGTAATAAAGTGAAATCCTGCCCCTCTATGGAAACAGCACAAACATGGCCAGAAGTACAGTCGACTCAAAAATACCTTTTGTGCAGTAAATCAAAGTTACAATGCCATAAATCATTAAAAAAGAAAAGCAACAGTTTCTTCAAGGGACCCCAGGTGTTATAAAAACAGTAAAAAAACAAAACTCCATACACATGATTTCATTTGTTTCCATCCTTGTCTTCTCTCTGTTCTGTACAAACACAACCTGCAGTTCAGCCAAATACTACCTGAAGTATTTTCACATGTCTGAATGCTGGTCACAGCTGAGTGATTAATGGTTTCTTGGTTGCACCAAGGAGCACAGACTTTCTAGTTCTTTTATAGAATCTGGCAAATAAAGCAAATGTCACCACTATAAGATGATATTTGGTTCATTTTTCCCATGACAGCTGTCACACATAAGATTACTTGATTGTTTCTGTTTTTGCAGTTGCCGGCTTTGATAAACAGAGCAGATTTGCTGATTTTAATTTTTAAATTTTTTAAAGATAACATGGCTTTTAATCCCTCCCAACAGGTTTTGGGGTTTCTCGTTTCCCAATCAAACCACAACCTATAATTATTTAATAATACAATATGAATTTACTGACATATATAATCTCACTTTCTGACAGTGCTTCAAAAATTGTATAATTCCTGGGAGGACTGCAACACAATCCACCGTCACAACAACCCTACTTTTAGTTTTGGGGAGTACAACGTCACCTGAAAGCCCACAATCACACACTGAAGCACTTTAGCACTAACATTACTGACAGTGTCTGCAAAGAAAGAACATTCAAGACCTCTGTGAATACAACTCACAACTCTTTTACTGCCTTCTACGGCCTGTTTGGAAAAGACTGAATTCTGTGCTCTTTAGAAGTTCTTAAGACATGCAGGTAACTAATAATAGCGTCCTCTGAGGTCCAGGCGCAGAGCTCAGGGCTGATCTCTGGCCTCTCTGACAAGCTCCGAGTTAACAGAGATAAACTAGGGATACATGAGGAACTAGAAAACACACATGCCTGGCCAGCCAGAGATGCCATTCCACCATGCTCAGGAAGCACGAACTCATTACCGTTGATTTAGTGATGGCTGCGTTGCAGGAAGGGTTGCTGCTGCACGTCAGGACGACAGCTAACAGGCTGACAGTGGAGGAAAGTGACGAACCCTCTCAAAAACAATTAAGAGTAACAAAAACTAATTGCAACTACTCATTATTTTCTTATCCTTTAACCTGAAAACGATTTTCTTGTTCTATTGGGTAGTTGTTGAGTAAAAAATATCAGAAGATACAGAAAAGTAGCCACTATTATCCCTGAAGCCAACAGTGGCTTCTTTAAATGGCTTCTTTTCTAAAACTGAATGATAATCAGTTCAGTTGCCTTTTTTTATCAGGTATACTTAAACTAGCAGACCTGCAATAAACTAAAGTCTAGTTTTTGTTTGAGTTGTTTAAAACAGTGTTGATTTAATTTGTATGAGCATTTCAGGTGCTGTTTAGTTCATGTATTGTTTAGTTTATTATGTTGTCCCTTCCATTTATCTCAGTGAGGGCTGGTCAAACAACAGAAACACCAACAGAGCAGAACTTATGTCTGTATACAATCCCAGAAGCCCGTTTGATGACATGTTAGCAGATTAAACAGGGAGGACTTAGTTTTCTGTGAAATCCATACGCGCAAAAATCACAACATACTTATTCTAGAGGCTTTAACACATTTTCCAAACTCTCCTGCAGGGAGGACACTCGGTTTGCCAGCCTAAAACTGGGCAAAATGTCAAACAGCTTGGCGTGCACACTAGTCACCAGGGGACAGACACATTTTCCCCATTTCCAAAAATATTCAGGGTTTGAATAGAAGTTCCCGCAGCTTGTAAGTTGCACCTGAATGACTCCCTGTGGCTCGTAATGAGAGCCTGCAAAAAAAATATCCAATTATAATCACGCTGCTGACTCTGTGACAATCCCAGCCTCTCAGGACGGGTGTCTTTAAAGTGCTTTTAACAAACTAATGATTAAAGTTTGGATTGGGAGTTATAAATATATTAGCATAATGAATTCATTAATATTAAGGAGGTGCAGATGGGAGGTGTGAAATTGCTTGCCTTGTAAATTTTAAATCAGTATGAAATGCATTTATTCAACCTGAAAGCATAAAGAACTAACTGTGGGAATTGATGCTCCAAAAGGTCAATGCAGAAGCTTATGAGGCCATCTGCTGACAGACTGGGGTTGTTGCATGACGATGAATACAGTCTGTCATTGTTTAATGAATAGAAAAGGACCTACTTCTTCCTCCGTTGTCTCTCCTTCAATCTTGAATGATATATATCAACGACGGAGAGCTTGAGAGCTGTAAAAGAAGAAAACACGCCACAGTTGAGTCCATTCTGTGAAGTAAATATTCATACTGGTATTCTCTATTTGTCAATAAATCAATCTATTAGAAACTCTACCCACCACGCAGGATGTCTGAGTCATCATCCACAAAGTCAATGTCTTTCAAATCCCATTCTGCATAGTTGTCAAACTCCTGGGCAGCAGGTGAGAAATGATGTTAATAACCTGCCGTTTTGATCTCAAGTTCACATGCAGCCGATCAATGATGAACAATTTATGAGAAAAACGAAAGAAAAACGCTGCGATGAGTCACTCAGCGTGACACAGCAACAAAGGCATGAGTCACTATTTCAATAACATTTAATAACGAGCCCTCTAGTGGCGGCTCCACTGATTTATTCGTGTCGACAGGCGACGTTGGCAAACGCGTGATGAAGTGCGGCGCAAATGTGTCGCCTCACCTCCATGAAGTCTGCTCTGGCAGGCATGTATCCAGCCATGTCTCGAGACAGCACGGAGTCGAACGTGGGCCGGGGGGGATCGTCGGTGGCTGTGGCATCAGAGGGATAAAAGCTAAATCAAACATGACATCTTGGAAATGTACGGAGAGAAACAACAATCTCCAAAATTCTCCCAATAAGATTTGAATTTAGCAAGATTTGCAATCAGAGATGGAACAAAGATTTCGTCTCTGCCTCGAATTTGCCAACTTCTGCAGGAATACGACTGTGAAATGTTTGTCAAGCTCGCAAACACTGTGACAGATGGAGACCTGAAGCCTGCTCGGAGCTGCGACAAGTTCCTGCCTCACCAACTGCTTCGGTCCAACTGTTGGCCCTGTAGCTTTCAGCCTTGAAGTCAGATTTTGCTGCAGTTTTTTTTTTTTAATGCTAATCTGTCTTCTGACTTCTCTAGAGCCCCGCAATCAATGCTGCCATCATTTTTATAGCCTAATCTAAATACAGCTTATTATTAGGAGTCGACAGGTTTCATATGACAGAGCCTACTACTGTTAAAACCTGAATGGACACGTGAGATTTAAAGGTTTGTTTGCGTCTTGTTCCTCCTGCCACATTAGTGACGGAATAAATGAAGGAGGCAGATAAAGTGGGTACTTGCGTTTGAAAGGAATAGCACCCTCTGCAAAGCGAGAGTCTTTTGTTTTCCGCAGGCTGAGCAAAGTGGAGGAGAAGAGCGGGTTATTGATGAAATTCTTCATGTAGTGGCTCTCGCACTCCTCTTTGGTTTTAGTGCGCATCTGATACGCCACGTCCTGCCTGAGGAAGACAAATGAGGGAAATAGATACAGTATGTTAGTGTGCTACAAGAGTGGAGAGTTTATGAGTAAAACCAGAAGGCTGCGTTTTTTAAACACAACAAACACTGTGGCTATTTGACTCACCATATTTTTTTAAAAATCTAAATAATTGAAAGTCACAAAAAAATACAAATAAATAAATAAATCATGGCTCCAGACTGTTCAGTCACATTTTACAACTGTTTTTTGGACACAATAGATTTTATAACTAGAAGCAGAACATTATTCCCCCGTTGTTGTTTTTTTTTTTTTTTTTAATTCATTTTGGGATATTATGTGAAACACCAGGAGGAAGGTAGAGTGTGTGAGTGAGAGTAATTCTAGTGGAGAGCTAAGTCAAAGCTCTCGTCATCGTAACAACACCAAATGGGGACAATTCTGTGTTGGATTTCATCAACCTGTGTCCAGTCCATAAGTACTCTCATTCTCGCTTGGCCCTTCTGTAAAAATGAAACCAACTATCGATTCTTTTTTTTTTTCAAAGAAAAACCCGGCAGATCCTCCTGAGTCACTACAGTCCCACATTTCTGATGAGAACAATTAAGACAGCAGCGGATTTCGTATTGAAATATTGCAAAGAAAGGAGCGCTATGTATTTTACACCAACCAGCCACAACATCAAAACCACTGAGAACTAGAGTGAGTGACACTGATCATCTCTTTACAGTGAAATGGCTGATCAGTGAATGAATGTGCTGCTCTCGGTGTGACCCAACATTTGTGAGAAAAAATAAACTTGCAGACACAACTGCAAACTGAAAACATGAAATCTGCATAAAGCACAACAACAGCATGAAGCATAAACTGGAAATGCAGCATCTCTCTTTCACAGATATTCTAAAGCAACAACACCACTGCTTTCAGGGAGAGCTCACTTTTTTTTGGTCAAAAACAGCCAACAAACATTTATAAAGCACTTATTTTCTTCCTATTAACAACAAGAAGAATAATAAGAACAAGAAAACAAATTAAAAGTATCTGCTGCTGCCTGTTTTTAGCACCACTGTGGGTTAGGTTTGTTCTTCTGTTTTGTTTTATGGCAGCTGGCAAGAAAGCTTGTTTTTTTCTCTTCTTAAGGTAAAGACGGTAAAGTTTATGATACTGTACCGTCATGCATGCTGTTCTTGATGCCAAGAACTGGCTAGCATCACAACAACAAATAGCCTTATTTTATTTTAAGCATTCAAAAAATACCATGTTGTCATTACTTTAGAGATCCCCAACATTTTACAAATCATGTTTTCAAGGGAGTTCATGTCATATTAAGAGGAGAAGAAATGCAGAAAGTGTTGTTTTTCACATCGATTTAAGTGGTTCAATCTTCACATGGGAGCAGTGGAAAAAGTTATTCTGAAGCCCTACATTTAGAAACCTAAAGCCTTGTTATAGTATTGTGCTCATACTGTTTCTGTAATTTCATGTTGGACCCCAGTACAGATTACATCATAAGTCATGACAAACAATCAGCACATTCACTTTATTCAAATTTTGGGCTACAAGCTAAACAATTAATATTTAACTTGTGAGCAAACGGCAGTATCTTGGGATCTTAGTCATGCAGAGAGTTAACACACAAACAAGAGTTTCAACCCCAAGGCTATGAAACTTTGAGGGAAACGAAATGAGAATGTCGTGTCAAAAACACACCTTGAACTCTTACAAAACACTACAGGGAGTGTGGGAACAGGTCTCTTATAAGATGGATATTTGAAGAAAAATGAAAACATCTGCAGCTTGTGAGACAAATCAAGGCAAGCTTCCGTTCACAACTGAAAACACACTGATGAACCACTAACCAGTTTCCAAAGCCACAGTCCATGACGGCCTCCAGCAGGGCCATCTCCTCCTGCGCCGTCCATCCAGGCTCCAGTACCGGGAAGTCTGACGTCTGTTCGTGGAGGTGAAAAGTGAGGACACATGTTGGAAAAAATGTGTTTATGTGACACTAGAGATCTGCCGAGGGGGGTTCATTTTACTTACCATGATTTCATATTTGTGATCACTCTGGTGCTTCTTGTACTCAAATCCTCTGGTGAAACACTGAAACAAAACAACATGATTAATTCCAGTCAGGCTGAGTGGTCCGGAAATAAACAACAGCTCCAATAATATTTGTTACCTACTTACCTGGAGGCAGAGCAAAAAAGGCGAGGGTGCACATTCTGCACACTTGATGTACGGCTCAGTTAGATAGGACGAACAACCTCTGCATGGCGGCTTATCGAACGGATCATCTGAAATGGAAACGTTTTTAAACTCTTGATTTACTACAGCACAGAGTGAGGAGTCAAATAACATAAATGATATTAGCCAAAATCTGTTCATTTTGAAAACATAGATTTGAGAACTAGAGTGGTCTTTTAACCCTCCGAACCCCAAAACTTGCTGGAGGATTTGAAATGAAGGGTATCTGTTGAGAATTGACAAAATTGCTCCATTTATTTAAGCCAGAAACTGTGAAAACAAGAATAATTTTTAGATTTTCAACTTTCTAACAGTCACTGAACTAATCATGTGCAGTTTTGCCAGGAACAGCAACCAAATCCAAACTTAAAATCATGATATATCATCAAAATCACTTTATTCTACATGTCTCGTTTAAAAAGTGGTCAGAAATGAATGGTTTGATCCAACCAGATTCTGTAATAAGCACAGCAATTCTGTGCTCTTCAGCACAACCAATAACTCACTCGTTACTCAGCTACAACCAACAGTCAGATGAGAAAGATTCATAGATTTTCAGCTATAATTGTCTAAAAAGCACACCATGTTCACAGTGAGTATGTCGGTAGTAAAACACCTACAGTATGTAGAGCCACCATTATATTGTCTTATGGTTCATAAAAGTCTGATCTCCTTCATAAAGTCATAATAGTTTCTTTCATTACAGAGATTTTCCTGATTCACAGTCTCACTGCAGGATGTCTGCAGTTTTCACATTATTGCGCGTAAGCATGTTTTCCATAAGTACATAAAGAACTTGGCTTCTCTAATCATCACATTAACTAACAAAATGTAAGCAGCTGAGCAGCAATAAAAACACATTTTATAGGAAGTTCCCTTAGTTAAATAAGCAATCAATAGGTTATGAACACATATTTTTGTGTCAAAAACAAGGGCTGCAGATTTGGTTCAATTATTTTCAGTTATCTATTTTGGGTATTTTATGTAGGACTTCAGTGGTGAACTTTTCCCTTCACCTGCATCTCTTCACCTGGACTTTTCAAAGGGTCCATCACCCAGATCACTGACAAATGACTGTACATCTAAACAAAACTGACCCAAATTAATATCAAATAACAAGACATTTTTTAGGCAAACCTTTACATATGACTACAGCTCTGCAAATCATCATAAATAAGCAGAATTCCAGCACATAGCTTTAAAATTACTGATCTAGCTGCTCTGCACTCGCTGTGATATCAATGTGGAAGATGGATTTACCTCATATTTTATAATAGGTTTACTCTAGGATAACTTGAAAATTGTGAAACTATCACATTAAAACTTAAAAACCTCTGATTTGAGCCAGACTGCCAGTGTGACAAGATCCTAACAACGCCTGTGGCTTAAACTCACAGTAAGATTTAAACCACATTATAATACTTTAGCTGCAAACCGCATAAAACTAACCTCAGAGCTGCGCTAATGCTTATTGTAAGTTCACGTAGCTTCAGCATTCTGGGGTTAATGTCACACTTTGACTGAAGATGAAAGCTGTTCAGTAACAAAACGTACAACAGACTAATAGAGAACATCTTAAAATGTTGGAGAACAGTTTGCTGTGATAGTACACAACGTTAATATCGCTACATGCTAACGCTAACAGTAGCAAAGCAAAACTAGCTTTGTGCAGCTAAAGCAGCTAACTACAGATGTGCTTCCAAAAGATTGAGGTGTTTCCTTTAAAGCTGCAGTGGCTAGACTTATGTGCAGGATGCCGTCACTACTTACTTGTAAAAGACGCTAGACGGTCCATAAGATGATGTTTCAACAAAACTAATAGCAGAATCGATGTTGGGTATCAATCTATTTATCAAAGTTCGCAAGTAAGCCTGATGTCAAAGCAAAGCTAGTGGAACTCAGATCGATCGATAGCTCCCTTATGGGCTCCAGACCTTTAAACTGTCCAGTATTTTACACCTAGTTCTCCCAAATTCAAGCAATGTTAAAGCTTTGTTCATTAGCTGATAAACTCAGCAGTTATTTTATGTTTTTGTTGTATATGTATGTGAATAATAAAAGGCAATAGTGTTTAACAAACTGCATATTCACTGAAAACAGTCAGTGTTTTGTGTTTTCTTCTTTCTCTTCAGTCAGGTTTATTGACAGTGTATGGTTCCTTTATTAAAAACAGCATTTAATGAAGTTAGGATGTGCCCTTTTATTATTAGAATATAAAAGGATCTAAAATAAATAAATAAATAAATAAATATGCTACATTCTTTCACAAATGCTTTACTCTTTGTTTCAAATAGAAGAAAAAGAAATCATATTAAAATAATCAATGTAACAAATTGTCGCTTATTTGTATGAACTTTATTATTTCCATGTTGCCTAAAGGGGAAAAAAAAACTGGACTATAGTCATTCTCCATCTTACCACAGGGTGTTGATCTTGCACTGTTTCCTTCATAAAAACAATGACCGCCTTGCAAGTCTTTGTCTTCCTCTCAGCACCACTTGAGCTTTGTATACACAGCATGTGTACGGCTGAATAATGGAAAGACAGATGACGGCACTTCACTACATTACACCCCCATGTATGTCTTTTTGCCCCCCATAAAATTCTTCCATAAAGTGCTGCTTGCCCTGAAAATGACTTAAAAACAGCTCATTCTGATGCAATAAATATCTGTGACTCCTGATATTTTCCAGCATCCGTGTCCAGCTTTGGCCCCAGAATCAAACACCAACTCCAGAAGCTCAAGGACGCCCCTGTGGCTGCACGCTAGGGGACCTGGCAAGAGCAGTACCTGAAAACCTGGATGCGTAAAACTGCAAGTGTGCATGCGTCAAACCCTCTAAAAGTAAGTGGGAAAGAAATGTTTTTGTGATTTGAGTGAAATGACCCTCTGATTCAGTGCAGATGTGACAGCAGCAGCTGGCTGGAAGCAGCACTGGCAGCAGTGTAATGGTGTTAAACCGGGCCTATCACTTTACCTTAGTTGCCACTTAGAACATTTACAGTGGAATTTAATCCATCTGACATTTGGATTTCATTCCACTTGATGCCAAAAATGAGAGTGTATGCTTTATTTTATCTGTTAAATCCATAGAACCTCCACAGTACCTACATTTAGTGAGAGCAAGAAACCCATAAAGGGACCATAGTACAGCTACCAAAGTGCACTTTGGGTTAAATCCGAGTGTTCTCCTTTCTTCTCGTTACCCTGAGCCATTTCTGTGAGGACGATCCGCAGTGACAAGTGCGTTCAGTTGCAGCGTCCCGTCTCCTGACCCTGTGGGGCTGCATCAGACCTCTGGGGAGAAACTCAGTCAGCCGGAGAGCCCTGAGCAACACAGATCCATGAGTAATGACGAAGTGGCCGCCCGACAGACTGTGCATAATAAAGGGACAGTTGCACTTTCCCTATCAGTGGAAATTCCAGCTTACTGCCAGGACGGAGTTTGTTTAACAATCCTGTGAGAGCGTTATGATTTATTTATCTTTAAAAAAGGAACTTCTCATTTCTGTGCGACAGCATAAGTGGTGTGTGGATGGAGCCAGGTTTCACCTCATGCAGTCTCATAACAACTGAGTTCAAACACTGAACCTTTTGTTCCTGCAGGATGTGCAATATATGTTTGACTATGCACACATACAAATGTAACATCAGCTTGAGATTGCTGCTGAGCATCTCGTTCCAAAAGCATTAAAATGCTGCCATAGCATGCTTCACTTTTATGGTATATCTTTCCATGCAGCTCTGCAACCAACAGTATATTTTGTTATAGTTATTATTGTTGCTATGTTGTCCTATAAAATCCATCCATCCATTATCTATACACCGCTTTATCCTCACTAAGGTCGTGGGGGTCTGGCAGGGGACACCCTGGACAGGTCACCAGTCTATCACAGGGCTACACTTGGAGACAGACAACCAAGCACACTCACATTCACACCTACGGACAATTTAGAATCACCAATTAACCTCAACATGATTTTGGACTGTGTGGGAGGAAGAACCCGGGGAGAACCCACGCTGCACGGGGAGAACATGCAAACTCCACGCAGAAAGATCCTGGGTGTCCTCACCAGGACGTGAACTGGCGACCTTCTAACCACTGATCAACCTTGCAGCCCGTCCTATAACATGTCACAGAATAAAACATTTAAAAAAAGAAAGCCCTGCATTCCCCAAACATCAAGTTACATCTTCAGGTTTCTTATCTTGTCCTAACAAAACCAAAACTATTCAGCTGACAGTAATGCAAGACAGAGAAATGCATAAAATGTCAAAATTTAAGAAGCTCGATCCAGGAAATATTTAGTGGTTCCACTTGATGAATGATTCAAATGATTTACTAACCACTGGAATAGTTGCAGCTCGTACTGGTTGACCTCTATTTGACCAGGAATAATGTAAGCCACTGATACTTGGTGATAAGACCAGGCTGTTCCAGTTTATCCAGAAGTGTTGGATGAAGCTGAGGTCTCGGTGCAGGCCGATCAAGATTTTCCTCATCAAATGGGATAATACGTCTTTTATGACTTGGCTAAGCGAGATGCTGTAATTGTAATGGCAAGGGAAAAAGAAAGATTCTGCTTCAAACTGTTGAAACAAAGTTAAAAAAAATGCTTTTTTTTTTCTCCCCAAAAAATATTCTGTAGCATTAAAACTTACAGGAACTGGATCTAATATACAGTTTGTTTTCCTGATGTTCCCACAGATTGGAATAACTTGTCTTCAAAAATATATTTTTACAAAATGATCTGAAAACAGTTGCTTCTGCAATCAAGTTTGCGGAATGACTGGTCAAGATCATCAACACCAGACTCAGACAATAATTGAAATTAAGTGAAATATTTTTTATGGGCCTAGCTAAGTACATGGGGATGCTGTTGTGTTAAAACAAGAAAGATCCTGCACCAGACTCTTGAAACAAAGTTGAACAAAATGCTATCGTTTCAATTTTTAATATATTCTGTAACACTAAGACTGTATCTAAAATAAAGTGTTGTGTTTGTCAATGCATTTTTTCACTGATGACACAAATGACATCAAATTGACCTTTAACTCTAAAAACAGTCGCTTCCTGCAGCCCAGGTTACATGATGACAGGTCAAAAATTTTCACACCATACTCAGCCGATAATTAAAATAAATTAAAATAATTCTGGATCTGGCTAAGTACACGGGTATGTTGTCGTGTTAAAACAAGAAAGATTCTGCACCAAACTCTTCAACCAACACTGAAAAAATCCTGTTGTTTAACGCATTATCATATTCAGTAGCGTTAAGACTAGATCTAAAATAAACTGCTGTGTTTTTAGGTCGTATTTTTAACTCGTGTTCCCACGGATGACAATTAATTGACCTCTGACGCTAAAAAAAATCAAAATCAAAAAATAATCTAAAAACAGTTGCTCCTGCAGCCCAGTTTGCACGAGGACAGCGCTGTAGCCTCCATATGAATTTAATTAAGCAAAATTCTCACTGCGAGCCAATTTCAAATGCCAGGGTCAGCATATGTGGGAGCATACTGTATAAAATCACATCTTGGCAGTGAGTACGGGCCGAATCCATTATCCACATGGAGACTAACAAAGAAAATAATGTCAGCCTCGCAGAGTGACATGTGCGCTCCCCTACGACGGCCCCTGCTGCAGCATCACTGCCTGTGGGCGACAACCTGCTGTCTCTCCAGCCACATGCCACCCCCGTCTGCCCACAGTCCCTTCACACCCGGAGAGGGAGAGAGAGAGAGAACCTGAAAGACCAGGCAAACCCCTCAGCCTGCAGGCCTCACGCTGCTCCTGTGGATCAAAGACGGGGAGCCTTGGGGTTTCTCTGTTATAGACGTGTGCCAGATTATACAGCAGCGGCCAAACAAATGCACACATACCCCCCCAGCAGCCCATTACATCTTTAAAAACTCCCCCAGTCTCTGCCCACTCCTTTTCCTCCTCTTACCAAAGCACTTCCCAGCTGCTGCGATTTGAATATGAGGGCCCCGCTGAAGAAAAGAGGGCATCTGGCACACGCCTTAGAGGCCAAGAAAAAAACTGCTAAACTGCTCCTGTCATGGAAACAAGATTAAGCCTCTTTAGAAGAAGGCAAAGAGGTAAAATGGACATAAGCCCTGAAATAAGTCTGGACAAAAGACAACACGAGGAGACATCTGGATAAAGTCGATATCCAGCACAGAAAATAACATTTATTCAGTTTAAAATTGAGGAAGTATCAGCAGTAATTGTGTAATCACTCTCTGAAGGAGGCTTTCAGTTCAGATTTATTAAAGTACCTGCAACCATCTGGCCACTGAGGATCATTAACATACAGTTGCTCACAATATTCAGAGAAAAAAGTCCCACTTTTTCCCTTGTCATGTTTCTAAACTGAATGAATTCATCACACATTGAAAGCAGTCTGTTCCTACAGTATCTAGCAGGGACTGAATTCTTCTAGGCCTGTTGATTATGATTGGTAGCATTTAAAATAGCTGTAACTCAAACCTTCCACCACTGTGCAAATATACAGTAGATGTGACGGTGACCCCTGTTTTCACTGTTCATACTGAAAATCCAGATAAGCCAAGCTTTTGTATAGCGGTCCTGAGAGCTCAAAGAAATGCAGTTTAAATAGATTAAACACAAGCAAACGTGCAGCACTGAGAAAAAAAATGCAATAAATTGAGAAAAAGGACAGAAACAAGCTACAACTGAGCAAAAATTAACGAGATGAACATGGAAAATTAGTTAACATTTGTATTTAATCATTCTGATGACATGATTTAGACAATAATCCAGGTGTCTGATGGTAAACTTCGTGTTTCTGTATGTTTTTTGTATTTGTAGCATTTTTTCGAAACATTTTCTTTG